ATTCCACGGACAACATACAGACACTCTCACAACACACACACACGGCAGGGTCAGAAGCCCAGAACATTGTGAAGACAGGTCATACATAACTCAGCTAGGTTTGTACACGCATCTATACCTTGAGAGCGCACTGGCTATTTGGAGAGCTACGGACATGGCACTTTGATAAAAGGGTCATTCTGCAGGCTTTGCGGGGGCTGTGTACTGTGAAGGATTGGATTTTCACATGAATGCTCGCACTCTCAGGCTGCCCGTCCTCTTCCTCGTCCACACAGAGATAGCCTTTGAATGGCAGATCTCAATTTCTGATTGCTGTCTGATTATCTATTCACCTCCAGCTATATTGACAGGGCACACTGCTATTGAGAAGTGTGTCAGAATGAGAGTGGCCAGAATTTAGATTCAGGGGTACAAGGAGTGTCCACTTAGCCTATATATTTTCCTCAGTCACTGCAGTAGTGAGGAAAAATAATTGAACTCAAACCCCCGGTTTCACAGACAAGGTTTAAGACTATAGTCCCAGACTAAAATGCGTGTCTTAACTGAAAACAACGTGTACTGACATATCTTAAAATATGTCAGTGTCATTGTTTTGTCTCAAGATGCACACCAGGAATGTTTTTTTTTCTTTTTTCTAAGGCACGTTTAAAACAACTATTTAAATATCCTAATTGAACTAAGGCCTAATCCTGGATTAATCTAAACCCTGTCTGTGAAAGTTGACAGTTTTAAGCAGCCCTTAAAATGCTTAGTTCATCAAAATGAAAACTGTCATGCTGTTCCAAACCTGTATGACAATCTTTCTTCTGTGCAACAATATAACATATTCTATACATTATTATTTCACTACATTCTCCCTCATTGTGCACCTAAAAAAAAAAACAATGGATTTACCAATGGACGAATTGTCCTTTTGTGACTATTTAAACTAGTTTAGCCAGTTTTGAAACTAAAACTTAAAGTCTGTATTGTAGTGTGGTATTGTACAGCTCAAGTTTCCCTGAATACAAGAGGCAAATAGGATGCAATATTAAGCTGAGGAATCTAGACAGAGCCCAATTAGAGAGAGATAGGGTGTGTGTGTGTGTGTGTATGTGTGTAGCAAATGGGGGAAGGGTGTCCGATGCCAACCTGAGACATTTTGATCTCCACACTTGGATTCACAGGCATACATTACTCCGCTGGCAGACAAGGCAGACTAATATGCTTCCATACACACACACACACACACACACACACGCACGCATAAACACACACAATTGGTCATTGCAGGCAACATGATCTGGGTGGCAACACAGTGAACACTATGACGCCATTCTGTCTAGTGCAATCGCCTTTTGAGGACCACAAGCCAATAGCATCCTGCTATCCTACACGTTTCTCTCAAATGCATTTTTTCAGTCATTTCAAAATAGTTTGCTTTGTCAATATAACACTTCCAATGGTATATCTGACATAAATCGTCAACGGTGTTTCATCCTGAAATTGCAAGTAAGCTATGAATACATTAGATCTCTTGATCATGGCACAGTGCCAGCCAGTCTGCAAGCAGAATAGAGATTTGATGAGGTCATGTGATTTAGGAGCTGTTTGCTTCATGGAGAGAGCTGCACTTGTCCATATTGTAGCAGCTAATATCACAACAGCCCTCCGCTGGTGTCCATGGCAACGGGCGACAGAAAATGAAAGGAGGAAATTAAATCATGCTGTCATGGGGGTGCATGCATTAATTTTGCATAAAGAGTGGATGATATGTGAAAGCCTGGGCTTGCCTTTGTTCAGTGCCAATGTCTGGTACATATCCAAATATATGACCAAGCCGAAACCAAAACCTTAAAAAAAAAAACCCATAAATGTAAATTTGACGTCTGGAAAATTGTTCTTTTACTTTGGAGGAGAAATTTGATTTTGCCATTCTTGCATTTTAACGGTTACTTGATTCTATTTATTTTTTCCCCTTTTTGGCAAAAGGAACAAAATATCAATACAATATTGCACAATAACTTTGGCCAGTATGAAAAATTTCCGTGCCAATATATAGTCTAATTAATGGACACCATTTGAATATTCTTTTCAGTAAATTAATATTTAAAAATAAATAAATAAATAATTGGTTTTAAATGTGAAGTTATGCATACTGTGTAAAATCCAGATTAAAATGGACATTATATATTGACAAAAAAATAACAGTGTTATTTAAGATTAAATTTATTTGCTGCATCTTCTAAATATAAAAATACACTGTAAAAAAAGGTTGCTGCCTTTTTAAACACAGACAACTTGGATGTTTAAGTCATTTCAACTTAAATACATTAAACTGACTAAAACAATGAGTTCAATCTTGTATAACTTCAAAATAAGTTAAGCAATTTTCAACTTTTTTATATGAGTTAAAGCAATGTAAAAAATATATGTTGCCATATTGCTCATATATATATATATATATATATATATATTTCAAAATGGTATTATCCCATCTGAGTGGAATCAATTATCAAACCCATCCCGAAATCTATAAAAGATGACCCTAGAGTCCCGTTGAATTATAGAGGGATTAGATTGATTAGCACAGTCTATAAAATTTACTTAGGAGTCCTTAACAACAGACTTAATGCTTTTTTGAAGGCTTATGGAGGATTGGTAGATGAACAGAATGGTTTTAGGAAAAACAGGGCCTGTATCGATCATATTTATGTTTTCCTCTGTGGGGAGAGCTCGTGGGGTAAAAGTACATTTGCTGGTAAATTTGGGTGTGCCAATTGAGGACATGAATCTAGTATTCTGCTTTATGCAGATGACATTGTTTTGATAGATGAAAATGAAGTGAATTTACAAAAGATGCTGAATATTATGAGTTCATGGTGTAGTAAATGGCGTCTTACTATTAATAGAGAAAAAACACAAGTTGGTCATTTTAGGGAAAAAGGTGAATTACAGAGTCTTCATACATTTCAGTTTGGCCCTGTGCCCTTAAAGTATTCTCGTCATTATAAATATCTTGGTTTTGTTTTTGATGAAAATATGAAGTTTACAGAGGGAAGGAAAATACTAGCAGAGTCTGCTGGAAGAGCATTAGGTTCTGTGTTGAGCAAAATGAAATTATGTACAGATCTTGTTTTTTCTACATTTACACAACTGTTTGCATGTATTCATGTATACATCTTTGGTTGACTCAGTTTTGTTTTATGCTGCAGGAGTTTGGGGTTTTGAAGAGGTTTTTGACTGTAACTCTGTTCAAAATCGTGCTTTAAGGTGTTTTCTTGGTGTGCATAAATATGCAGCAAAGGAAGCTGTTAATGGGGATGCAGGATATGATACATGTATTGTAAAACAAAGGTGTGAAATGGTGCGATTGTGGAACCGTCTTGTTAGTCTGCCAGAGGAAAGGCTAACTAGGAAAATATGATATGATACTGATATTGTGCATCCCTTTAAACATCAATACAAGTATCTTACTTTATCAACAAATAGGCTAAACGAGACAGAAAAAGGGAGTTACATTAGGCTATGCATGTCTAAAGAGAAAAAGTAATATATGACATTTTACAAAGGAGCTCCTATATTGCACTAGGTTGGGTGAGAAGTGCTATTGGGTAAACATTTTCATAACTAAATACATTTACATAAAATCCTCCAACATACTGCACTGAACTTAGTGAGTTCTGGTTCTCTATAAATCTGCACTGGCTTTGTTATGCTGATAAGTTGAGAAAGGCCATGGATCATCTAAACGGATATTCTTGTAACATGCATGAGGTAAAATGTAGTACTTGTAGCCTATAGACAATCATTCTGATGGGTAACGTTGACTGGCATTATGCAGATAAACACCATGGGAGGGTTTTCAAGGGTCCTGTACTCTCATGATCACAACGAGCATATTGCAATCTACTATAATAGAAATAAGAGGTATAGGGTCAATGCCACGATATTGCTCCATCAAGATGATCCGAGTTGATACTTGTGAAAAAGCACCACCGACATACACTTTCAATATGTGCATTACACATGCATGCTTCAGCCTGAATACAACATAACGAGTGTATTAAAGCCCTATTGAGCTCAACAAGGAGCCTCCATGCAATAATCTTAGATTTTTTTTTCTTGCCTTGTTTTTTTGCCCATATTTGGGTGGTTGGGGCACAGTGACAGCTGTTCATCATGTCGACAGTATACAAGACATTTCTCTCCACACCATCAATTTACCATGGCTGGACATTGATTTATTCATAACCATCAGTATGTATCATTTGTCGAAATTACGGAGAGGGAATATTGACGGGTAAATAAAGATAAGCTGAGGAACTGTGGACAGTGTCAGACACATCTGATTTCAGTACAGACAGAAACAACAACACCCAATGACATCAGCTGATAACTAAAGTCATCTGCCAGAATAGATTCACAATTTAAGGATAAAAGCTCTGACACCTTACTCATCTCCACCTGCATTAAATACCAATACAGGCAAAACGTCAAACTGTGAAATCCCTTGGCAACCTAAAGTCTGCATTTCTAGGCTGAAGGCAGTGCTGACGCCAGAAATCAGATGCTGCATGACAAACAGATCATGCAAATGACCTCTGATGGATTCAGGAGTAGGAATCTTACATGGCAGCAGAATTCGACCAGACCACCTGATAATGATTAAAAGAAAAACTGACCACGGTTCTGAGAAGCTGCCATCAAAGACATGTTTGTATATTTGGTATCATCTTTGATCTAAAAAAATAGGCTACACTCATGATCACTTCACCTATACGGCAGAGCGTGCATCTCATCAATAATGCAACGAAACATCATGTTTATGCAATTCACACAATGAAAGAGCACAAGTACATGATATTGACTGCAGCCACATACTGACAACATCCCTACAAGCATTCAACAGCCTATGACCACTCAAAAGCATGGGAAAAAATGTTGAGTTATTTAGGTAAAACATATCATGCCTCAACTACAGCAGGAGACTAGAGTGTAAAAAGGCAATAAACACTCACCTTTTGATTCAGTTTTGTGCAGGCTCTTATCGCTTCATGGTAGCACAGCACACAGGAAAAATAACTGTAGTGCCATGGTGATATGCAAATTAATGGATCACGCTGAATACAAGGACATTTATTATTCATAAATTACTCATGTGTATGCAAATTAGGTTACACAGCCCCTACTCAAATAGGAGGTTGGTAATTTATTCTGTTTGCTTTATAGGCTTCAGTGGCTTTTAAAAAAAAGGCTAATATTTTGTCTGACTGAATGTTATTCGTGTAAAAGAGGGAGAAAAATGGTGTTACAACATGGTATTTTTATTAACGATTTTTATGTAAAAAAAGAAGAATATCATTTAACAAGGTATACAAATTCAAGCCAAATCAAAGGACCATGTAATACACATTCATGCTACAAAATAAAAGGTGGAGTAAAATGAACACTTTATGGAAGGAACCACTTTTCCAATAGGGAAATGTGTTATGGTTATAACAAACAATTGGCGCCCCCATGTGGTCATCTGGGAGAGCGCGTTTGTTTAGCGCCTGTCCCGTTGTGGTTGTGCTGATTACAGCTAGTGGACTAGTCTCTAATAATCACTTCATAGAATACTTCAGTTTCAGTTCAGATACATTTAAACCAGGATTTTAGGATCCCAGGATCCCAGATCTTCTCACAACATTATCAACCTCTTTTTCAAATTGATGAAGAAGTTTAAAGTCACAGAAACCTCTGTACAGTAAACCGGTTGCCAGTGTTTTCATAGCCTCCTTCATTTGCCACAAGGAAGGTACAGTGACAGAGTGTAAATCGCCGTTGAGCTCAGCTGTGATCACTGTTGGGTCGAGTTTTGGGATGTCCAGATCCGTTAGTGATTCGCTTTCATCGTTAGATTGGTTCGTTAGGCTGACTTCAGATACACTTGGTGTATTTTCTGAAGGCGGCTGGATTTTAAAGAGGCTGAGCCAATCTCCGTTTGAACGGAAGTTGCGGAAACCCATCATCCTAGCCAACCGAGTCGCTTCTGAACGAATCATTGATTCATTTACTGTGATGCCGTTCTCACGAGAATGATCGATCCATCTACAAAGCGCGCCTTCAAGTTGCCGGATCTTTGTAACGTTAGATGTTAAATCCATCCTTCGTATCGCCGTCTTTTTATTGTCAGACGTGGGCTCTTTTTTTCGGCTGATCTGGAACATCCCTCGTATTACTCCCTCCCGGGTTTTAAAGCGCGTGAACCAGTCTGTGTTCGCCCTGAAGTTACGGTAACCCACTGTCCTGGCCAACCGAGCCGCTTTTGAACGAATCGTTGATTCGTTTACGTTAATGCCGTTCTCACGAGAGTGATCGATCCAGCGCCACAGCGCAGCTTCCATTCGATGCGTCTTTCTGGCAGTGAGGTTTTTATTGTGCTCTTTAAACCGCTCCGCCGCCTTATTGCCGGATTTGGTCTCTTCTGGTCCGTCTTTTGCATCAAACATCTCCCGTACTACCGACTCCCGGGTTTTAAAGCGTGTCAACCACTCTGAGCTCGCCCTGAAATCGCAGAGACCCATTTCTGTAGCCACCTCAGTCGCTTTTATACGAATTATTGAGTCATTTACTGTAATACCGTTCTCGAGACAAGTATCGATCCACCTCCAGAGTGCAGCTTCTACTCGAGGTGTCTTGCGAGATGAAAAGACAGTCCTCGGAAGTTTAGATTTGGCCGTTTTAATTTTCCTTTTCCGGAGCCAGACACAAAGCAGAGGTCCTGAGATGTTTAGCAGACGCGCAGCAGCGTTCTGGGACATTGGGGGAAGTTGATCGTATTTCTCCAGTAGACTGTTTTTTTCCTGAATTGATCTACGAACATATTTCCTCGTGGCCATGTTTATGTGCTTTTGATAAGCGATGGAGATTTGGACTCTTGAGTCGATTCTTTTAAGTTGGATAGGTTTAGCGAATCGGTTGAACCGGTTCGGTCAGAATGATTCGTACACAAATCGCACTGAATCGACCCGAGCAGTGACAAACAACAATTTACAAATAAAACACTGAGAATGTGTTTATGGCATGACCGTATGACTGTTTATCAACACGAATACAGATCATTTAGCGTTCATTGTAATTGTATGTCTCCCAATATTGCTATGATTTGAATAACACCCTTGTTAATGAAACCAAATCAAAATAAAACAAAAGTATGTGTTTTTAAATAACTCTAATCTGTAATTTTGGTGGGCAAGATAAAAAAGGGCATGATGTAAAATAATTGCTGGATTGTTCGTTTGACCGGTTCTTTGAAACAAACTATTTGAAAGAACCGACTCGATGAAATGAATCAGACTCGGACCGTCATCATCATCCAAAGGCGCCTAAAGAGTGGCGTGACAAACACGCGACGGGTTCTCGCGATGTTTGAAAACACGCATGTCGACTGTTGAAATCTTGGTTGACACAAAGATCAGTAGCCGAATCTTTTACAACCGTTTGATATTTGTACTGCACTCCGTGATTTAATACACAGGCGGAACATCACCGTGTGCCCAAGAGGGGTGAGATTGAAGCACACTTTTAATGAGATATGAAAACATTGCTTTAGATAACTGCCTCGAAAAATACAGTAGATTAACTTGAATACTAAAAATGTGTATATTTATATGTGCATAACGTTGCTTGTCTGCACGAGAGCTGCAGGATGTCAAACAACACGTATTTGGTGTGTAATCATAGTTGTATTGTTCTATCCACAGCCTAATATTCAACATGTATCACAACAGCTCACAGAAGAAATTCTGGACTTATGATAAAGAGGAGACATTAGATAAATTAAGATTAGAAGCTAATCAGAAGTTCTGTTCAAAAGCCCTATCCAGTGGTAAGGTAAGTCACAATTTGGAGTTCTTTGTATTCTTTTTGCATACAATATACACGTTATAATTTTGCTTGTATATATATTCACACACTGCAATGCACAGTAAACCAGTAATTTATAGTGTTAACAGCATTTACCACAATCACATTATATCTTCATCCGTTTTTCAGCCTGGAATAAATGAATCCATCTTCCTTGATGGACGGGAAGAGAAAGTGCTTTTCAGACACTACGAGAAGAGATTGTTAGACTTCTGTGCCATGTTCAAGCCAGTGATGCCTAAATCTGTAGTGGTAATCATTATCAGTTTTATATCAGTTAGAGATAAGATCATCTAGTTCTGTTCTGGCTTTTTTTTTAACCTGTGTTTGTTTTTCAGGGAACAGCTTGTATGTATTTTCGAAGATTCTATTTAAACAACTCTTTAATGGATTATCACCCTCGGACAATAATGTAAGTGTATCGACAGAGTGAAATAAGTTATAAGATCATGATTTTTATTTTTGTTGATTTGTTCGATTTTGCAGTTCTGACCTTCACAACTTACCTTTGCAGGTTGACATGTACATATCTCTCCTGTAAAGTGGATGAGTTTAATGTGTCTAGCACTCAGTTTGTGGGGAACCTTCAGGACAGCCCAGCGGGACAGGAGAGAGCTCTAGAACAGATTCTGGAGTATGAACTGCTCCTTATCCAGCAGCTCAATTTTCATCTAGTTGTTCACAATCCGTATCGGCCCTTGGAGGGTTTTCTGATTGACATGAAGGTGAGCTTAAAGCCTGGTTGCAGACAGTCCTACTCCAGACGCACGCCATTGGCTTAGCCTTAAGGTGATGATACACAGGGCAACTTTTTGAGCAATGTTGCTGGGCAATCTTGCTGAGCGATTGTTGCTTGGGCACTTTCCCATTGAAAATGGGCAATACATTTCTATCTGGATAATTTAGGTCGGTCGTGGGCCATGTGTCTCATCTGGTTGCCCGTTGACGGCAACATTGCTCAAAAAGTTGCCCTGTGTATCATCACCATTAGGCAATGTTGTTGGGAGTAGCTAACTACAAGTAGCAACTCTACTAATTAAACATTTTTCAGTAGCTTGACAGTTGCTCAGTTGCTTTGAAAAAAGTGTGGCTTTTCCAGTAGCTAACTACTTTTTACAGCAAGTAGCGTTCTAGCTCGACCAAAAGCTACATTCAGTTTTGAGTTTTGACAAACCTGCAATGCATTGAAGCAGTATAGTGTCGTCGTCTTATTAGATCACAATCTAAATTGTGCATTCAGTTATTTTTAATATACAATGTCATTGTAAAAAAAGTAGTTTAAATATAGCTGGCTACTTTTTTATAGTATTTTGTAGTATAGCTAACTAGATACTTTTTTTCAGAAGGGTAGCTTGATTGTATCTTAAAGGTAGGGTAGGCAATTTGTTTTATAAACACTTTTTGCTATACTGGTTGAAACTCTTCACATCCTGATAGCAATCAATAATAGAAGTGGTATAAATATTAAAACACGTACTTATATCTTCTGTGGAAGTCTCAGGACCAAAAAATGTTTGTCCAATCATTGCATTTGGACCGAATGTAATGATTGGACAAACATTTTGTGGTTGTTCTACTTGCCTGTCCCCTATGTATTTCCATACCTCAGCGCAACCCTGCTCGTACAGATATCACACTTAATCAGCGCTTTGTAGACACAGTCACTGGGTGCTGTAAAGTGTAAATAAACCGCAGTGCTGAGAGACATTACCGTCTCAGGGTTCCAGACTGCGACCATTTTTTGAGAATGTGCGAGTTAAAATTTTATGTGGTCGCATTTGTGCGAGTGCATGGTTATGTACTCAGTTAAATTCACGCATGCGCAACAGAACGCCGTTGTATCAGCAGCTGCTGCAGTCCATATGTTCAAAATGAACGAGTACATCATGAATCCAATTTTCCAAACCGTGTTTTTAACTTATCCTGAGTTGCCCAGTGCCTGCGTGACTCGCCATAGACATTAACGGAGAGAAGTAGCTCCGGCTACAATGTTCTTCCGCAAGACACTTGCAGTTTATTTATTAAAGGTGCTCTAAGCGATGTCAGGCGTTTTTTAGGCCAAAACATTTTTTGTCACATACAGCAAACATCTCCTCACTAACCGCTGGCTTCCTGTCCCCTGAACACACTGTAAAGAAACGCGATCTCTGTAGACAGCCCAGGCTCCACAAACAGCAACAAAAACAAACTGGGCTAACCCGCTCCACGAAACATGACAAACAGTTCCAGCCAATCACCGACAAGAAGGACTTGGGGGCGGGGTTTGGGGGGTTAGTGCGCAGATGAGGAGGAGGGAGGGTCTAGCTAGCCTCCGTTTTGTTTGACAATACTTTAAACGTCAACAAGAAGTGACGTCACCTGACATCGCTTAGAGAACCTTTAACGAACGTACACGTTACGTGCATTGCACACTGATGGTGAAACGCGCCAATTAGGAATTAAGTCATAATAAGTGTAAGTTAAATGTACAGTGTACGACATGTAAAAAAGACAAGAGGCTAACAATGTCAAGATCAATTTGTGTAGCCTGACATGGTATTTTCACACTTCATCCGTTCCAGGAGCGGTGCGTATACAGCAGTGCAGAGATCGTTTACGCACCGAGTCTATTTTTGCTGTGCTGCACGCGCTGAATTAAAGTGACAGCGCATAGTTCGTGGTCAAAATGAGCACAAATTGACATGACAATGAATTTCATCATAAATGCATTTAATTAAATAAAATGTAGTAATCTCACCATAAATGCATTTAATACTACTATTTTTCACAATCATCTTTTTACTTATAACTTTTTAATATTTTTTTTTGAGAATATTTTGATTTGATAGTTAAAAGATTAAAACATTTTGCTAACATGAGGTCTTGTCACTGTCAGTCTTTTTACATCAGTGCAAAACTATGGTATGCAGATTAAGACCACTATTCATCAGCATGCATTGATTAATCCCACGGCATGTAGCAAAGAAAAAAAGTGCGACCAAAATCATATGCTGGCGCGACCAACTGAGAAAGTTGGTAGCACCAGTGCAACCAGTGGAAAAGTAAGTCTGGAGCCTCATCTCGTGCCGCTTTGCAAACTCTGCTGTGTGCGTTCATGTGTTTTGAAGGAGACGTGGTTTTGGAGATGCTCTGAAGGGATCAATAAAATCGATAATAACCAATAATGAAAATCATCAACAACGAATGTCATTATCGATTAGTCTTGCTGAGCACAGAAAACTTCCGCGAGCCGCATCAAATTACAGAACTGAATAATGTATTTCGATGGAAAAAATGACTCTAAAAATAGTTGGGGAAACAGAGTGAGCTGTTGCTGGATAGGTGCGTGATCCAAGCTGCCCAAAACATGAGAATTCTTTATTTTAAACTTCAAAATAATGCGTAAGCGTAATGTTTAACATGGTTTGCCTGTCAGGCGCTTTGACAGATGCGTGTGCAGTTTAATTGGTGATACGTTTCCTCAGCACAAAACATTTTTTTTCCGGTTATATCCTTAACTGTGTTAAAAAAGCAAGCTAGTATTTCCATTTTGCATGAATGCTCGTCCTTACTGTCTGCGTTAAAATTCAGACTTTACTGAATGAGCGCCGGCGTACTTAGGACGGAAGGGGAAGTACTTAGGTTAGGAAGACAATTAATATTCATTGCAAAAATATACATTTTGCTGATATAACTGTTGGACGTTAAATTTAGGTTTAATAGGTTTTAGCTTTTAAAGGTTTAAAAGGTTAGGTTTCAAGTATTTGTAATCGAGCAGCAGAAAGAAAGTTTGGAGTGAGTGAGAAACTTGTGAGGGACTGGCGAAAAGCAGAGGTTACTCTAAAGGGGGTCGTGCACAGGACGAGAAGCGCAGTGCCACATCTTTAAAATTCGAACACATTATTCTCTATGAGTGTACACACACCAGCGGCGCTATTCGGCGTCCATCCGCGGCGCCCAGCTACGGCTCAGGACCTTGTTCAAAATCCTGCCGTGCCATTTACATAGTTTTATATTACATTTTCATTTATTTGTCTCTAATCGTCGTTAACGTATATACTGACTTCACCCTGTGCTGCAATATACATTTAGTTTTACATTCATTTACATAAATCAGCTGCTTGAATGAAAATTGCTGATGTTATCGGATTTTCAGGTGATATTCTCAATTAATTTAGTTAACAGACGCTCTGAGGTAAAGTGTTCAGACTCCGCAACGATTGTATTTAATTGCACAGTACAGACATTATCTTAATTCCATAATGTCCTTAAACATAATAATATTGCTGGTCATAAACGGATGCAACTTATAGTCAAGTGCGACTTATGTTTTTTTTCCTCTTCATGACGCATTTTTTGACTGATGTGACTTATAGTCAGGAAAATACGGTACTTTAAATTTTATGAGTAGCTTGTCAAGCTACAGGTTCAGAGTAGCTTCCCCGACACTGATTATGTAGGGGTGCTCAAACGGCACCAGTGATGCAGAGATTCGGCACTTCATTTTTAAAAGTTGCTAAATAGATAATTTAAGGGAATTTGAATGCATGGTTTCTGTATTTTCAGACCAGATACCCATTGTTAGAGAACCCAGAGATACTGAGAAAAAGTGCTGAAGACTTTCTCAACAGAGCAGCAATGACAGACACCGGACTCCTCTTCTCTCCGTCTCAGATCGCCCTCACAGCCATCCTCAACAGTGCAACACGTGCTGGCCTGAAGATTGAGGCGTAAGTTTCTCCTTCAGCATTCAGAGATTCTAACACTTGAGATGGCAGGATGTTAAAAAAATATTTTTGATATTTTCAGATATTTGACCGAATGCATGGGGCTTAAAGAGGATAAAGAGACCCTCTCTAAGTTGTACGAGTCAATGAGACGTAAGTATATTCCCCCCTTTTTTACTGTTAAAATGTCACTAGATAAGAGATGCTTAAATCTGAAAACTCCTGTAAAATCCTTCATAACACACGTTCAGCTGGTAAATCTTATAAATGGTGACCTGTAAATTCGTCAAAGTTATTTTATGGGAGGTTTATCTCCTAAAGATCCATTTGGCTGTGACATGCCTTTCTGAAAACGCTATCGATTATAGAGGACCCATTCAAAGCCTTCCATACTGTAATCCTATGTAGACTTAATGCACACTAGCACTCAAACTACTACTACTTGTATAAAAATATTAAGCAGCAGAACTGTTTTCAACATTGATTAGAAATGTTTGTTGAGCTCCAAATCAGTATATTAGAATGATTTCTGAAGGTGCACGTGACACTGAAGACTGGAGTAATGATGCTGTAAGCCGTAAGCTGTGTAGCTTTGCCATCACAGGAATACATGACATTGTACTGTAATTGGTGAGCGAGACTTCTTTCAAAAACATCTTAAAAAATCTTACCAACCCCAAACGTTTGATGGTAGTGTATGTCATACATCAGAAGGTTTGATTGCCTGTTCTGTTGTGGTGTTTTTGCCTTGTGTTATTTTGGGCCTGGTAAGGATAATCTTTGGATTATCAATCATTTGTTATTGGTACATTTAAGGATACAGTATAAGTGTAATATTGTGTCTGTTTTCACTATAGGAATAACAAGTCTTATGAAAGTGTACGAGCTTCCCAGAGCTGAGGAGGTCGATACCTGCAAACAGAAACTGGAAAGGATTCATGCTGAATTTGCTACAAACTTGTGAGTATTTGTGGGGAAAATAAAATGACAGTACTTAGATCTTAAGAGTTTTAAAGCACACAAAACTAATCATACTAAGAGTTTTATTCAGCCAGGTTAGTCACTTGGTGTTTTGTATCTAAGATGCAAAAGTGTTTTTTTTTTTTAAGTATTAAATATAAAAATAAAAATACATGAGCTACCTGAAATACAGAAAAAAAAAGGTAAATCCGCGTCATGCTTTTCATAGATTTGCTGGGTCACAAAATGCAGCTAAATGTACTGTAGAGAATCCCCTACATCAACTGTAGATGAAAACAGGAAATGGGTACAAAGTGAGCTGTTTCAAGTCAGTGGTAGTGAATACACACCTTATACTAACATAAACGTAACCGGGTATTACCATGATTTTAGGACACAGTACAATGGTTAAACCAGTTTTTTTGGACACATACCATGGTAATCTTTCATTACAATGGTGTATGTCAGAGTACCATGGTATTAGCATCAGATCTCACCACTGTACAATGGTACCACCTCAGCACTTTTTTGTAAGGGTCTCAGTAAGTACAGGACAATGCAACTACCTGTCCAACAAAAATACATTGTAGAATCATCTAAATTAAGTTTTTGCGTTTTTACATATTTCAGGGAATAATACACATCAAGAAACTGCCAGATTAACTCCTCAAGCAAGTCTGATAAACACGAACTGGCTGATATAATAAAATAATAGAGTTTGATAGTCAATAGGTCTTTCTTTTATAATGTGAAATGAACCAGGAAGTTCATAATCCACTTGGCCCATTCTGGTGAAAAGCTATAAAATTATTTTGAGCTGGAGTTTGTTGCTGTTGCTTCGGTGGAAGAACAGGGGGCAGGTTATTAAAAGTGGACACATGCAACAACCTTGTGTAATCTATCCTCCAAAATTGAATCGGTCTCACTGATCTGCTCATGTATCACACAAACACTGGTTTGGAGATAAAAGCCAGGATGCAGCATCTTGTCAAGCGAAGCGGCTCAGAAGGTAAGATCGGAATCAGTTGCTATCTTTAGGATCTAAGCCTACCTGCACCTGAAACCGCAGTCGAAAACAGGAAAAGGTTGTGTGGTAGAGTTGAGTGTAGAGACGGTTTTTAAGGCTTGCACCTTAAGTGCATCTTGCTTCCCTGATGGTCAAGAGCAATGCAGTGCCAAAGTTCTTGCTTGCTACAGATACCAGTCTAGCGCTCACGGCTCCCAGGTCGGTTACACCAGCGGGAAGCAGAGTCGGACAGATCCACGTTGATTTTGCAGGTTGGGTCAACAAGCATTTCCGATTTACTCAATTTTGGTTATTCTCTTGGAGTGTTCATGATTTTCAGTCTTAGAAGAGCCAAGACATACTTTTCGACGGACATAACCTCTAACCATCTATTTGATGGATTATCTGTGAATTCAAGTTTTGAATCAGTTGGTTTGAGATTGGCAGTGTGTTGCCTATCTAGAGTCCGAGCATCCACCTTCTTCCTTTGCATCTGGTGAGAACAAGTCTTGCTTTCTTTGCTACCAATCTTTTCTTTCAGAGGATCTGGATTGTGGTGGCTACAGCCATAAAGGTACATTCAGTTCTGCAAAATAAAGACAAAATTGGGCATGGTGACCTTTCAGGATTATGCAAGTCTTGAGCGATTTATAGTGAGCCATAAGAAATTTCAAGCGCTTTCAGAAGGCCGTGGCATCGTAATGCCTACATGCAATGGATCAGCTTGTTTCTCATCCTGTGTGCGCTTAAGATTTCTTCTTATTCACAATAATTTTTAAATGCCTACCTGATACTTTTCTGTTGAGGTTATAGTTCAACAACAAATCGACAGACAAAAAAAAACCATCTATGATCTTGTCTATAACTACACAGTTATGAGCTACAGTGATGCACTAGTTTGCATGCGTGGATGTGTGTGAGTAATGAGTCGCCAAATACAGTCACTAAATGAATGCAGTCTTCAGATGATAACAGTGTATGGTTCTGATGCTTTCCTCTGTCCACGGCCTTCAGGAAAAGAAAACATGGATATGAAGATGACGATCACGTTGTGAAAAGGCAGATGGTTGCTGAGGAAGTAAGTTTAGATCGGTTCCTCAAATGCACATCTTCTGGTTGCCACTTGAAGCTTATGGATTTTCTGTTTTTCAGGAATGGACTGATGAGGATTTGGATGCATTATGATGAAATTGTTTTTAAATCGGCAACATCCTTGACAGTTATTTCATGAACGGGTTGAGTGATTCCATTTGACACTTGCTGTTGTCAAACTAAATTGTAAATATTTCAGCAAAATGTTGTCTGTCTTCTCTGAAAATAAAATATTTGTTTTTATTCCCATAAGCTTTTATTCAGAGGGGATGCATTCAATTCACCAAAAGTGACAGTAAATATTTGTATATTGTTACCAGGAAATCTTTCCAAGTGCTGTTTGTCTGAACTTTCTATTCATCAAATACCGAAAGGTTTCACGGTTTCCACAAACTTAAGCAGCACAACCGTTTTAAACATTAATAATAAAAATAAATGTTTTTTGAGCACCAAATCAGCATGATTTCTGAAGGATCATGTGACACCGAGGACTGAAGTAATGGCTGCTGAAAATTCAGTTTTGTCATCACAGGAATAAATTACATTATAAAATAGAAAATGGTTATAATAAGAGGTAGTTTTTAATATTACTCTATTTTGGATCAAATAAATGTAGCCTTGGTTAGCATTAAAGACTTGTTTCAAAAACATTTTTTGAATGATAGTGTACTGGTAGTTAAAACACTAAACAATATCTGCTTGCAACTATCATTTAGCAGATGTCTAACAGTAGTACATTTATAACAGTGACAATCTTCTTAAAGAACTGGGGTAAAAGGGGTGTTCAATTGACATGACAGATGCTGTCGATAACCATAATAATGGTTCATTCAAAATCAAGAACTGATAACAGACAAACCACTCTAGAATATTGTTTAGAGTACAACAGCTGTCTTATTTTCAAAAGCTGCTTTCATGAGCTGATCTGAGACATAAGCCAGTGAGTACTTTATAAAACATGTTTAATAAGTGCATGCATTCCTGATACAATCTTTACTATTGTAAATTTTACTGATGTAAACATTTTTTACCTTGAACTTTTCTCCTGAGAACATGTCTGGCTTTGAATTTGTCTCAGGGAAGACTGAACCAATCAAACATAAGTACAATATGGAAAACAAATCAGGTTACCTCAAATTATATACTCATGATTCCAGCAAGAGAATTTATTGTTCTGATATAAAATAATCATACTCTCTGAGGATGATAAAAAGAAGAAAAAAAAAATCCAGTCTACAGCACAGTTCGAACTAAACGGAACAGGATAAAGGACAAAGAACACTAGTCTGAGCACATTTTGCATATTCATAGCCATGTAAATCAGTAACAAATTACAGTATAAAAATCATTTGAGCTCATAATCCAGTTATAGAGAAGAATCGTTGCAGCCTTGTGTCAGTTCAGTTTCAGATCAAGCAGATGAAGAGATACACTTTGGCAACCTGTATTCAAAAACATTATTCTGTGGACTTATTGGGACATTGGTTGGTCGACCCATCTGTTAGATTGATATGTACCCAAGATACTGCAAGCAGTCAAACCGATTTGGGCGTGTGATTATAAAGTCATTGGTGTCGGACTTCAGGAGTCCAGCCGTTTTGTTTTGCAGCTGTAGTTTGCATAGTTCTCGTGGCACAGACAATGAGGCGCAAGGAAAAGGGATGATGGAAGATATGGGGTGGGTGGGAGCTGACATGGGGATGAGGGTGGAGCATGCTGGGGTCCCATTGGCTACTCCAGGAAGACGGAGACAAACTGACAGACAAAATGACCGAGGTGGAACTACCTGTTGCTGTTGGACATGGCATAGTGCACCTGTTTCTGCTGGAGGAGCTCAGTGATGGCCAGCAGCTTTTTCAGCACGTGCTGTAAAGAAAAAGACAACGGGCAATGACTGCATTATACGGTAATCTTCACCTGCTGGGTTCAAAATGGCACAGTGAAGACTTGTTACAACTTATTGTGATGTTGACAGTCATTTTTCACATGCTTTCATTTCATTTCAATATGGATGGTATCCGACGAAAGAATAATCAATAAATACAGCCAAATCACAGAAACTGAAGAATGCCCAATTTAATATCAGTGTCAGGTAAGAGTAAGATACTTGTCTAGATTTCACTGCTCACATTTATTATAAACAACCACTGCTAAAAACTCGTGAAGTTTACTTGCATATGGTTTTTATAATAAATTAGTCAACCCCCATTGCAAATCAGGTTTATTGGCTAAATTTACTGACTTTGAGCCGTTTGCAATGAACCAATCAAACTTCTGCAGTCTCAAAATCATTCAACCCCGTGAATAGAATCAGAAAAACCAGAGTAACCACATAAATTAAACTTTAAAACCTGTAAGTTGACGAAAACAATGCGATGCACTTACTGCCTCAATGCAGCCGTTCTAATGAAGGTAAAAAAACTCATAAGACCATTTGAGCTTGATTTAGGTCATGTTAAAAATAGTGTCCTACAATATATAAAGCCACAATATATTTATTAAAAAATATATGTAAGACCAAGAAATTATTTCTTTCTGCACTGACTATTGTGCTGATTTTGTAAATTGAATGTACAGTATCACCACATGGCTCTTTATAATACTTGTACCACTGAATGTCTTGATTGGCCAATCAGAGTCATGTTTATATAATGACTGCTAAACTGTGTAATAAGCATGATAACAAAAAGTCAGTCTATACATTCATGTCAGGGTCCCGGCTGACTGCACGTCATGTCTTATATATTTCTTACTATCATGTATGATGAGAGAGAGACACATACCTGCTGTGCTCCTCTCTCGTTGCTGAGGGTGCGGAGTTCGTCAGAATGAGTAGCACAGATCTCATGCAGGGCAGCAAGGTCACGGGACAAATCAGTCCTAAAGTGCTCGGTAGATTCCGGGAGATCAGGAACATTCTGGAGAAACAGCACAGAGAGAATGTTATAGGAAAGCTACTTCACACAGGGCTCATAAACAGAGCCTCAGGCAACCCATGCTGCTTTAAAAATGGATACAGGGCAGTTTACCCCCAGCTCATCCAGAAACATGATCATCCTTTGTTTGTTGTTCTTGATGAAAGGATTCACCCCCTCCATGTAGGGCTCCTGCAACCCAAACACATCACAACAAACGATGATATGCCACTGCTGTAACATTAGCATTCACAGACTCTTTGACGCCTATTCAGGGTAACTCATTTTCTAACACAGCGTGAAAATCAAAACACCTTAGCACCAAATTCCACCAGGTTGGCCAAGTTCTGCACAGACTTTGCTACCAGGGTGAGCGTTCGACCTGCTGTGGAGGATGGAGCGTCTGCAAAAACAAAACACATTTTCATCAACGTTAATAATATCATACTAAACTAGCAGTATTAATGTTTACACTATAGTCAGTTTTTTGACAAAAAAAGACTTGCGCTGCATCCCAAATCACATACTGTCTGATTAGGAACTACATTTGAATTTGAACTTCACAACTATATGTTCTATATAGTATGAATGTGGGTAGTATGGATTAAATTCGGACGTACTGCATCCGCCATGTTGTTACTGTCACGTGACCTACCAGCGTCAATTGCGTCATTTCACTGCCATTCATAAATCCTATCCTGTGTTATCATGGGGTAGTAAAATGTCCAGTGAACGTGCACCTCAGAATCTCACTGGAAGCATTATGTCATCCGATGACTTTTCACCTGCTGTTTTTCGAAAACTAAGCATTCAGACATACCACTCTGTTGGCGTACTGCTTTTCAAATACTATATAGTAGGGAACTATTCTGTTTCGGATGCAGCATTAGTCTTTTTTTCATGTCACATTAGTTAGGGGTTAGTAATGTAGTCTATTGTTTATTAACCTGTCAACTTCTATAGTCTATGAAGTCTAATGTTAACTAAAATTGACTTTTTAGTTTAAAAGTGTGCAAAATGCATGTAAAACTATATAAAATACTGTTCAAATTGGAGTCGTTTTTTTTTTTTAAGAAGTCTCGTTAATATATAGAAGAAAATACCGTAAGAAAACAGTAATATTGTGAAATATTATTACAAATAAAGATAATATTTTTTTAAATATATTCTAAAGTGTAATTTATTCCTGTGATGTCAAAGCTACATTTTCAGCATCATTACTCTAGTCTTCAGTGTCACATGATCCTTCAGAAATCATTCTGATATGATGATTTTCTGCTCACGAATGGATGAATAAAAAGTTAAAAATAACAGCATTTATTTGAAATAATTGAATAGAAATGTAACCATTTTATGTCTAATACATTTATTCAGTAAAAGCGACACTAATTGTCTTTCAAAAGCAAAAAAAAAAAAAGAAACCCAAAAAACATACTGACCCTTAAACTTTTGAACAGTAACGTCTGAACCAAAAGTTTCCAAAATGTATAAACATTCATTTATGTGAACACTTCTAAACAACTTCATACAACAGGGATATTCAGCACAATAGAACATGTGCACATCATGCGACGTTGCTTAAATGCAGACTTGAGCTCCCCATAAGGTCATGAGACATAAATCCTATATTTCATGTCCTGAAATAAGAAGTTTATAATTAGTATGCTCAAGCAGTAGTTTTTTTTTTAGAAGTCAACTAAAACAACTATATTGTTTCTTGTTTGTTTTTTGGCTTTGAAAAGCAATATACTGCAGTATTATTTTTGCCTTGTCATATTTTAGCCAACAGTACATGTACATTGCATTCCAATTAAATTTGAAAAATACATCACAAATGGTTACATGTAAAAAATTTTGTTAACAATTTTTTTTTTTTGAAATAACCATATATGAAATAGCCTGTCGACTGTCACTATGAATATGTTGATGCGTTTACACATTTGGACCGTTAAGTGCTCTTCTATCAGACTGAAGCTCTAACAGGTGCAGAATGAAATATCTGAGTGGGTACTTGACCTAAATGTGTTGCATCTGGAAAATGGAGCTTGTGATGCAAGCTGTGCACTCACCAGCGATGATGTTGAACATTCTGGGGTTGAGAATGGCAGGGCAGATGAGCCTCAGGAAGACGAAACCACTGGGGGACAGAGACAAACACATTTTGGCACTTTGCAAGATGTTCCTCTGTAAACATGCGCAAATGTAGCTTAACAACTTGCTACCTCACGACTCGGGTCCTCATTGTAGTGTTGGTAGGCCATTTCTGCTGCACAGACTTCTGAAGACAGCCATAAATGTACCTCAGGGTCCTTGGAC